GTCATAAAAAATTCTATTTCAAAGGAAATTAATTTTGGTCATGAATTGCCCCTCCTCTAGAGACTATAATTAGACCCACTCTCTTCACTTGAGAGGGAATGTGTAAAATGAAGAAGAAGAGAATGAGCATAATTTCAGTGTTGTTCTAGATTGAATAGTAAGTAATACCTTTTGACCTTCGTAGTTGTCGATCACCGTCAACCACAACTCGTCGGCCACCATCAACCACCACCCACTAGCTGTCATAAATACCTCTTGTTGCCTCCTACTCGCCATTGTTGGTGGACTCTGTTGAGTAACATAGTATCATGTTGAAAAACTAAGGATTCAATTAAGTAACAAAGAACTCTGTTAAGTAATGAGGTATCACAAACACTGCAGAACGACGTACCTCGAACACAATGTATAAACATGTTGATAACACCCAATAGCAATTGTTCTCAAGCGATGTATACTGCGCATGGACAAAAATATACTTGGCGTAACTTTGCAATCCTTTCCTGTTGTGGTATAATGTTGTATCTTTGTACTTGTGAATTTATAGTGAATCATTTTGATTGAGTTAGGCCCTGTAACTTTTTTCCTTGTTGTGTTTTTCATGTAAAAAGTACAAGTCTATTCTCCTGTTATTTTGTTTATTATATGTGTGCTTTTGAATTTTCGTGCAACGTTGAGACATTAAATGTATTATTCTATTATCGTGTTAAATTTATTATTCAATCACTATGAATTTTCCAACACACAAATTTATTATTAGCACTGTCATTAACTAATTGATTCTTAAGTAGATCTCACGTCCTCATAAGTTCAAGCATCTTCTTTAATATATTGATTCTCACCAACTCCCAAAGCAGAATGCCCCATTATAACTAGTCTTGTGTCCTCCTAATCCGTGACCAGCTTCATGCTTATTTATTTCAAATTTGGCGTCATGCCCTACTTGCACTAATAAACTATGTGCCATTTACAAACATACCATCCTATTACAATGTATTCATATATTGAATATCTAACTTATTTTTTATATTATTGCCATGATCAAATCTTTCATATTACCTCCAAAATATCAATATATATATATATATATATAAATAGTCAGAGGCTATTATACGAGCCTCCAACCACTCTTAATGTGCCTAACAATTCGAGCACCACCTCCTGAAGGTCAAACTGTGTCAGAGAGGAATTGTACGCCCGACCTGAGGGGTCTTACACCAATAATGCCAACCAACGGGCCGAAGTAGCGGCACGACACATTTATATGAAGTTTAAGTAATACCTGAGAATTGAGGGGTATTTATGTAAATCTTTCATAAAATATTTGAGATAAATATATATATATTCTTAAAAATAAAAATAAAAAAATATTATTAACTCAGTTCATGATAAGTAGCTCAGAAGTCAAAAACATCCTTCTAATATGACTTCCTATTCCGCTTAGATAACATAAACAAAATAATATAAATTAATAAAAGCATCCTTTAAAACAAACCCTTACGTGGATTTGGTTAAAGGAATCAATGCTCTCGTTAAGTAGGAAATCAAGCTGTTAAACAAAAAGGGTACATTTACATGCATGCCACCCTATTCTTATGTATTTACACTTCTAACCCTTGAACTTTTCTTTTTATATCTACACAACCTAAATGCTTCATATCACATCGAAAATATCATTAAAAAAAGTAAAATACATATTTTCGTCATGAATAATGGGGCATATATGTAAAGGTTAAAGTTTAGGTGTTAGATATGTAAATACATAGGAATTGTGTGGTATGTAGGGTTGTAAACGAGCTGAGCTTGAGTGAGCTCAGGTTTGGCTCGTTCAAAATAGCTCGTGTTCGAAATCGGCTCGTGAACAGTGTGTTCATGTTCGGCTCAATTTAAAAATTCATGTTCGTGTTCGGCTCGTGTTCGGCTCGAAATTGGCTCGTTAAACTTAAATTGAGAAAAATAGTTATAAAATGTGGGATTCGAACCTGGAACAAATATACATTTTCATCATGAATAATGGGGCATATATGTAAAGGTTAAAGTTTAGGTGTTAGATATGTAAATACATAGGAATTGTGTGGTATGTATGTAAATCATCCAAATCAAAAAACAAAAAGTGAACGTCAACTATTCTGTTAGAGAGAAAAAAAACGATGAAAATCAATTATTCTGCTGAACAACTCTCTAAAGTATAATTTATCTATAATTAATGCTTGTAATAAAGTAAAATATATTGGTTTAACTTGTAAAAAAAACATTTATAAAACATTTAGTAAATTTTAAACAATAAACGCTGCCTTCGGTTGTGTAAAACAATAATCATTCAAAAAATTATTATAATAAAATAATAAAATAATGAGAAATCATGTAATAAAAGCAAATGAGATATAATTTTTAAAAACTTTAAATAAGCCTGTGCTTAGATTGTTAATCTTTAGTGTTGTTGGCAAATGAGATATAATTTTTAAAAACTTTAAATAAGTCTGTGCTTAGATTGTTAAGTTGTGTGTCGGAAAATTCACGGCGGTAGAGTGATATTTTAATGTGTTAGTATTGTACGAAGATCCAGCTCACACGTGAATAAAAGATGAGTAGCAGTAGAATAAGGCAATAAGATTTTTTATCTGGAAAGCCCTGGGAAGGGAAAAATTATGGGGTTAAATTAGACTATAAATTTGTTAAATTTGAAATTCATTTTATCTTTCGATTGACGATCCAAAGCCTCTAATTATGCATCAATGGCTTTATCTGGATTTGATCGGACCCGGATTGACCCAACTTTAGTATCATTGGGTTCACATTGTCACGACGGCCGGTTTGACTATAAGCTTGTTAAAATCAAGACCCTAGTTCCCCTTAAATTTGAATCTTAAATGTTTATTTTTTAAAAATATCTCGAGATTCATGCTAGATAAAACAAATTTCTTGACTACACATAGAATATATTTTAAATAAATCTTATATTAATAATATTAAACAAGCTACTCCTGAGTCAACAAAGCGAGTTGAGACAAGCTTAAGCTTGGCTCGTTCGCTTATCGAGCGCTATTTATCGACCAGAATTTGAGCAGACTCACGAGTGGACTTGACTCGTCTCACTGACAACACTAATAATAGATATCTGCAGTGTTATCTCCAAATTGTAAGTAAACTATTTCCTTAAACTCTAAGCTATAATAGAGTTAACCTAATCATCATCTACTTTTCGTGCATAGATAAGATGATATATATGTAATAAATTAAAATTTATGTGTTAGATATGCAAAATGCATTTGACAAAAAGAAAATAAGATTCCAGAAAGCTTCAATCAAAGGTGAAGACAGATGTCATAACCACTAAGGAAGTTTGTTCCAATTAAAATACTATAGTCTGCCCCTTTGTGAATGAGTTGGCAGAGCAATAAAGATATAAAGCTTTCTTATGCGTGCTTGAGATGCTCTTAGGAGTTTTTGAGCATTATTTTATCATATTAGACCGCATTACATTTTTGACAAAACAAAGGATGTAAATATTCAACATAATCCTCACAATTTAACATATTAAAAAGGGGGTTTAGATACACAACACACAAGTATTATATATTTATATATTTAGTATCTAAACTTTGATAATTACATTCATTAAGGTCGATATTTTGATAATCATGATTTTAGTGCAAACAGAAGGCACCAAAAACATGAATGACAATAGGATCACAAATCTTCACGAATCTCAAGAGCAATTGGATTTAACGTTGCGTCCGTGGACTAATATGTGTGGCGCACCAACGTTGGCCGATCAAAAATCACGGCGAGTTTAATAAAGACAAAGGGTAAATAATGTTTCTTCAAAAAAGAGTGGCATTTACATACATAACACGCAGTTCTTATGTATTTACATGTCCACCACTTAAACTGCCATATTTACATGTGTAGTACTTAAATCTTTAATATCATGTCATAAATACTACTATTACTTATTTTTTAAAAGTAAAACACATAATTTTTAATGTATAGATTTATCATGCCAAAGAATTATGCATGTAAATAAGAAAGTTTAACTATAAGATTCGTAAACACATAAGAATTGTGTGTTATGGTTGTCTTTTGGATCATGTGCTTAGTATTAGACCCCATTTTGTTAAATTAGTAGCACAAGACGAGTACCAATCAAAAAGAAATTTTATTAATTTATTCGAGATTTCATTTTCAATTCCCACATCTTTTTCAAGACTTGAAGATAAAATCCGTTTATGAAACTTCTGACTTCGATAACCACTCAACTGAGGTGCGATCTTAACTTCTAATCTAACCACAGTATCGAGGATAGTGTGGTTAGAGCTAAAGTAAGAACATATTCATTTTCTCAAACTTGTTGGCTTTCAGCATCTTTCAGGAAAAAAAAACAATGGAGATTGCAACTAGGCTGAAGAAAACAAAGCATTAGGCAATAACCAAACTTTCTCCACTATAAAATTCTAATCTCATGGATTATGATTGAAAGCCAAAAAGAATTCAGAAGTTGCTTTCTTTCAAATGTATGCATTAAAACGACAACTGTCTAAGCCCACTGAATTTGCATGCCAGTTAAGCAGAGAAAAGGCTTGATTCAATTGGCGGAAAGTCTGATGAGAGCATATCAGAATTTCTTTTCTAGGTTTCTGAAAGTGAGAATTCTCTTCCCCAAAGTCCTCCACTAAAGTTCTGAAAAGGAAATGCAGAAGAGCAGCAATGTAGAAGAAAAGGTGGAGGTGAAGAAGAGGACAAAATGGAATCCATCTGAGTACATAATCCACCAAAGATGTTGACATAATGATAGTGATTAATGAACATTATTGATGGAGAATTATGGAGATTTCAACCCTTTTTGACAATATAAGGTGGAATCCAAAGGTGGTAAAGCTTCACTTATCACATTTGAAAAGTTGTGGTGGAAAAGCTATGTTGTAAATTCCTTATAATGCAAGCAATCATTTTTTTCAATTGCAGATGAAAAGAAATGAAGAACAAGCTATAAAAAATGAAACTTTATGGAAAAATCCATATATTTAGCTATGTGAGTAACAATCAATATGAAAAAAAAAGCATCTTTTCATTGAAGAGATGAATAAGAACTGCACAGGAATACAAACAATACAAGAATTGCCAACTATTATTCTGCACTTGAAACTACTTTGAGGTTCTTAACTTTGTTCTACCCAGATCTAACTCTCTTAAGACCAGCCTTCCCATCAGACCTCAAAGTTCCGGAGGAGTCGCCGTTCGAAGAGTCCTCCAATGACTTCGAAAAGGAGGTGGAGAGGTCGGCGTAGAGATCGACGACCCTCCGGATATTATTGTTGAGCTCTCGGATAAGCCGCACGTTGCGGCTGAGGTTGTCAGGTATCTTCGACTCATGGTTCTGATTAATCTCATTTATTAGAAGGCGGTTTTGATCGAGTATGGTCTGCACCTGCCCAAAACTGTTGTTGAAGTGCTGAAGAACTTTGCTGTCCACCAAATTTCTGTTGCTGAGGCCTGAGAAAGTATCCCCTTCCATGCCTTCTGATATGGTATCCTCTATGCCTTTGTCGAGCCTGCAGAAAGGTTGTATATAGGAAGAATAGAACAAGAAGATATGAGATTAGCTGAGAAGCAGAATTCAGTTTGTTTTAGGGCTGATTTCGTTTATTGATGATATGAAGCATGTTTTAGAAAGTGATGATTTAGTTTCTTTTTTTTCCACTGATTTTATGAAATGAAATCAGAACATTGGAGGAGTTTTGGAATGTGTTTGCAGAGATTTGAACAATACGGACCTCTTATCAAATCGAACTAAATGCTTGAATCTAGATAATTTTAAGCCTGAGAAACAGAGAGGGGCGGATGGGGGAGAGAGAGAGAGAGAGATTAACAAGAATTGAGAGGCGTAAGAGAAAGCGAGATTGCCATGGCTTTATTAAATGAGAAAGAAGAAGATGATTGATGACAAGAAGGTTCCTTCAAATTCACAAAAGTTGATCAAATTGGATAAAGGGGGATGATATCCCCCGGCGTCTAGGTTAAAACCTCTACAGGAGTCCCAAACTCTATGAAGAACAATACAAATGAGGCTAAAATACCCATAGAAAAAAGATAATAAAAGCAATGGAGAAGAAATGTTTGCTGTAGACGAAATCATCTGGAATGAGGAAGACGAAGAAAGAATAGTAGTGTAGAAATGAGTAAAAAGATGAAATTTAAGAAGGAAGATAACAGAATTTAAAAAAAAAACTAAAAACTGGATTTTGATGAGAAAAATCAAGGTAATCTATGGCAGCAATGAAGAGAAGTTTCTGAAAAAGATCGAAAGGCACTGTTACTCAGCCAGATCGCCAATCCCAAAAGCAAGAAAATAAATAAATTAAAGTTAAAGGCCTGTATATCAAATTCCAATGTACTCTTTAAACAAAACAATAACTTAAATTTCTGAAACTTTTTCTGATTTCTCGTCTCTTACCTCTGAAATCTAGAACATATATCCTGAAATCGAATGCAGATAGAACCACCGGAAGCACAGAGAGAGAGAGAGAGAGAGAGAGAGAGAGAGATGAAGAAAACGCAGGAACCCTCACTCCCTAGACCGAAAGCAGCGATTGTTCCTTAAAACCTGTAATATAGGGGCGATTTGACAGCCACACTTTGAAAAGTCTATCTCTCTCTCTCCATAATTTGATACAGAATGGATGGCTTCTGAATAATTTAGAGAAATTTCAAGGAATGTAAAACTGTAAATGGTGATTAACGCAGAGTTTTGAATACTGCAAATTCCCAGCTTTCCGGAAGAAGAAAAATTTACTCTTTTGAATAAATTTACAAGGATCAAATCTCAAAGTTTAATTTTTTTTCTTTAAAAAAAAAAGACAAATTTACTTGGCTTCCGAGTTGATGCAGAAGTTCCAAAATATCTCCAAGATTTTATCAATGTTGACTGGATCTATCGATCTGATATAAGGATTTGGTCCTTCGAATTGATTCAGTTCATCTCCTATAATCAGGGGATTAATGCGGGGTTAAGATAAGATTTTATTTCCTAATGAGTGGGAGGGTCCAGATTTGATATTCTGCCTCATATCGCGTGGGCCTAATTAAGGCTTCCTGAGCCGGCAAGTGGCCTTGGAATTTGCGGCCACTCCAACAGATTCGCCTTTGGTGATTGCATCATTTGTCCTTTCTGAAGTAATTAAGATTAACTTAATTAAATCTTATCCTTAATTTTTATATGTGATGATGGGAACTTATGGAGATGGAGATATTATTAAATTTAATTTGCTGAGATATTAATTATGTATTAGTTGGAGGGTGATGAAAGGTTAATCAAAGATTTTTGTATATGGAGTCTTTGAAACACAATGGATCAAATTGCTTTTGATTATAAGGTATTTTGATTCGATATATGTTTTTAGTCATGGTTTTTTTTTTTTTTAATTTATTGATATGATAAAATGACTTGTGGAAGTAATCTATGAATATTTTTCGAGCATTTATGCGTCATCAAGAATTTTTATTAATTGGCATGAATTACAATTTATTTTTTGAAAAAAAAATATTTTTATTCAAATTAAAAAATTATCTAAACCTCTCATTTCGACAAGCTTATGGTCTTACTAACTGTCTTGACAAGGTGAATCCAATGACATCAAAATTGGTTCAAGCTGAGTCCTATCAAGCCTCAATTAAGTTATTGAACAACAATTGAAGGTTTTGGATAGTTAATTAGAGAGTCAAATGAACTCTAAATTTGATGTGTCCATTGTCAAATTAATTGTCTCGACAAAAGCAATCCAACAAACCCAAGTTCATTGAATTGTGTGGTCATTAAAGCCCTCAAATCATCACAAAAAATTCTTATAATCAAGGGGAATCAATGTGAGTCATTTGATTGGGTGGTTACGAATGTTATTGACTGAGCTAGACCCCAAGACTTATTCTCTTTTCAGGATTTTTTCATATAAAAAATTTTGATGTCTTTATTACAACTTTTTTTTTTATTTATGTGTGTGTGTTAGATGTTTGTGCAATGCTAAAATATGAAATTATCACTCTGCCGTCGTGAATCTTCCGACACGTAACAAACATATTGATAACGAGTGAGTGGGAAATCATCTTAAAAAATATTTTGATTAACCTATAAAATAAGTTTTACATATTTTTAAAATATTTATTAAATTTTCTTAATCAATTAAATCTTTCATTTTTTTATTAAAGAAGTTATCTCAGGAGCACTGTCAAAAATTTTGTACCTATAAAGTACAACAAATTTCATTTCTTTTTTCATTTTTTTTTTATTGTGCACACATATAATGTATTTCTAGCTAGTACCATAAATAGGTGACTCCTAATAGACTTAACATTTTCTTTCATTTAAATTAAATATAATTCATTTCAACCATTTGAAACTATTTATTAGCTTTTTAAACAATATAAAAGATGAAATAATGTAAATCCTTGTCTAAGTTCTTTCATTTCTTTTCTTTCAAATATTAAATAACTTTTGAGCTTTTAATGTATACTTACAAATGAAATATTTTTAAAATAAATGAAACTAAATTTATTGAATCAAACATAATAATTATTCATTTTAACCTTTAGAAGTCCCCTTTATAATTTTATTCCTCCACTTAATCACTTTGTTGATGCTCTACCAATTTGTTATTGTTATTTAATCAAAAACTAAATTATTTTTCAAATAAATATTAATTTAACTATAAAATTATTGTCTTAAAAAATAAAATATATATATATAAAAATGACTTATCTCATTTTAGTGTTATCTATTGTTTAATTGTAAATTCTTAATATTGATTTCCAATCTAGCATTAGTGTTTAATGAATTTTTAAATTAAATTAATTGTCTTCAACATAAAAATTAAAACCTCCTCTCCTCTTCAATGTATTTGTTCCTTACTCCTCTTTATGAAGCACAATTTTTTAATCTATGGCATTTGTCAAAAATTAGTATAGGATATAAAGTAACATCTAACTTAAATATTTTTGAATTAAGATTAGCTCTAATCCTTACCTCAATTATCTCTATCTCCTCTTTATAAAATCCACTATTTAATGCCCTAGTTAATCTTTGAATCGAATCTATTTCGAACTATTATTCAATTCATAATATTAATATTAATATAAAATTAAAAATTAAAAATAAAATCTTTAACGTATAATATAAAAACCCTAATCTTGTCTTATTAGCTCGGTTCGACCCTTTCTCCCACACAAAGTTGCTCTTCTTCTTCTCCTCTTATCCATCTTAGTGTCAAGTCACCCACACACACATGTCATACTCACCAGATCCGCCCCAAGTCACACCTGGATCGACCCCGTGTATCTTTTGACAAGCACCCTACTAGCGGCCTCTCGCAAGTAGCATTGTGTCCTTTGCGCTGAGCGCACATGATTTCCTTCTTTGTCTTTGAGATAGAGCGTCATTTCTTACTCTTCCTCCCTCTTACTCTATTTCATCTATTATGTTTCGACTCATGACGTTCTTCTCCTATTTAGAACCGTGGAGACGGTTGCCCCACTAAAATCGACCTAACATGAAATTTTCATTATATATATATATATATATA